CTAGAAAAGAGCAAACCAAAAAAAAAAAAAAAAAAAAAAAAAAAAAAAAAATCACAGCAGAAATAAATGAAATGGAAATAACCTTTAGCCGGACTAAGAAAAAAAGCAAGAAGACCCAAGTAAATAAAATCAGCAATGAAAAAGGAGACATCACAACTGATACTGCAGAAATTCCAAGCATCATTAGGGCTTCTATGAGCAACTTTATGCCAATAAATTGGAAAATCTAGAAAGAACAAACAAACTCCTAGACACATACAACCTACCAAGATTGAACCATGAAGAAATCCAAAACCTGAACAGACCAATAGCAAGTAACGAGATTGAAGCTATAATAAAAAGACTTCCTGTAAAGAAAAGCCCAGTACCCAGTGGCTTCACTGCTGAATTTTATCGATCATTTAAAGAAGACCTAATACCAATCCTACTGAAACTATTCCAAAAAATAGAGGAGGAGGGGATACTTCCAAACTCATTCTATGAGACTAGTATTACCCTGATAACAAAACCACATAAAAGCACATAGAAAAAGGAAAATTACAGGCCAATATCTCTGATGAACATTGTTGCAAAAATTCCCAACAAAATTTTAGCAAGCTGAATTCAACAATCATTAAAAAGCTCATTCATCATGACCAAGTGGGATTTATTCCGGGGGTGCAATGATCAAGGATGGTTCACATACACAAATCAATAAATGTGATACACCATATCAACAGAATGAAGGACAAAAACCATACGATCATTTCAATTGATGCTGAAAAAGCATTTGATAAAATTTAACATCCCTTCATGATAAAAATCCTCAAAAAAAAAAAACTGGATTTAGGAGGACTTTACCTCAACATAGTAAAACCCATGTATGACAGACACACAGCTAGTATCATACTGAATGAGGGAAACTGAAAGCCTATCCTCTAAGACCTGGAACATGACAAGGATGCCCACTTTCACCACTGTTACTCAGTGTAGTAATGGAAGTCCCAGCTACAGCAATCAGACAAGAGAAAGAAAAAAGGGCATCCAAATTGTAAAGGAAGAAGTCAGATTATCCCTGTTTGCAGATGATATGATCTTATATTTGGAAAAATCTGAAGACTCCAAGAACAAGCAAAACCAATCTATGGTGATAGAAATCAGAGGTGGTTACTTCTGGGGCCAGAGATTGAATGGAATGAAACAAGAAGTCACTTTCTACATCTTGAGGTGGTTATTACACAGAAGTATACAGATGCAAAAGTCTAAAAATTCACCGAACTACATATTTAATGTTTGTGCCTTTTTCTGTATGTGAGTCAGACCTTAATAAAAATTTAAAACAAAAACACCAAAAAGCACACCATGGGATTTGACATGAAATAGGAAAAGGGAGCAAGAAAGGCAAACCAAGCCATTAGGCAGGACAAATTGCCAATAGCAGAAAATCAAGTTCAAAGACCTTAGAGGCTTTAGTATTGAGACACCAAACACTTCCTCCTAAATGAAAAGAAGGGAAGAAATGAGGCTGGATGACTTTCATGTTAGGTCATGAAAAGCCAAGCTTTGTTCTCATGGGACTTGTGGCATTTGGTGCTTCCAGACCATTGTAAATGCTCACTGCTTTGTCTCCCAAGTTCACTGGTAGCTCTTGGAAAATCAGGAATCTGAGAGACTCACAGAAATTGCCACTAATGATCCCAGCTGCCTGTGCTTTAGAGGTGATTTATAGAGGACAGGGAGCACTGCAAAACCTCACATTTCCGTAAATTAAATCCACCAATTCTCACGTATCTGCCCCCTCTTCATGGCTAGAGAAGCAAGCATGCCTCTCCTTTTACCTTCCAAATCTAAGCAAGAACCTCTCCTTGGTAGAACCTCTAGAATAACGGTGGTAAGGAGTTACAGAAAATGTAGTTCCCAGGCTTTTAGAACTTCCAAAAAAGAGGAGAGCAGAGAGAAAGTGGAGATAGATGCTGATTGCAAAGGCAACAGTATTGCTCTTTTTAAAATTGGTATTTACTCGATTGCTGCTAAGGTTGAATGCTTTCCCTGTGCTTGCATAGTATGTTTTCCATTTTATGGTAAACAATGAAAAAGCTGTTGTTTTAACAAAGTTCCATTTTTGTAGTAGAAGGAAGAAAAGCTGTATGGGTAGACTTGTGTTCTATATATACCTTGGGTGCTCTTGTTGAGGATAACTTAACTCAGGCTAGTAATAGACACTACGGTTCATGTGACAGCACACTGACCAGGAGGAATACCACTGTTCCTGGTTACTGAGCAATTACTGGGAGCCAGTGCTTCACGCGCAATCGCATTTCATGTGTTTTATAGATGATGTGACAGATATAACATTTTTAACTATTTCCTTTTGCGTTTTTCCACCTCACCGTAGTTTAATTCCTTCCCTGGAAGCTCTTTTTTCCTATTTTAAAGCCGGAGTGTGAGACTTGTTGTCTTGAGAAAGGAGCAGGAGGGATTTCATCTAGAACAAAGAAATCCAGCTGTTAGGAAGAGGACTGAGGTTAGGAAAGTCCCTACCAGAAGGAAAAGAAGGGGAACTCCTCCCCTTATGACCTGGTGAGGTAGTAAGAAAAAGAGGGAGAAGACAGGGGTTGAGATGCTAGAGTCCTGCCAACCCCACAGTCCTGAGGTCCAAATGCTGGGGCGGGATGGGAATGGAGTTTAGGGATTCCTACAGCATAAAGGATCAGGGCCTGGCTTCCCAGGGTGTTCATAGTCCACGACATCACAAAGAAACCATGTCCAACCTGGCTTTTGAGCACTAGATCACAAACAGTAGAGAAATTGAATGTCTTCAAAAACTGGTGACTGCAGTGAACCCTAAGGAAAGTAATGTCTGGAAGCCCTGTAAATGAGACACTGAGACCTCTGAATTTTGTACTCTGTAGATGCCCATGGCAGATAAATCACAAAAATGTCCACAATTCTATACCCTCTCTTTGTATCCACACCTTTTGCAATTAGGCTTTGCAGTTCCTCCTAACAAGAGGCAAAGTCTATTTTCCATTCCTTGAATCCTGTCTGGTCTTGTAACTTGCCAAAAGAATATGGCAGAAGTTTCCTTGTACCTCGCACTCTCTCTCAAAACTGCCCCTTTCATGTGAACAAGCCTAAGTGAGTGCCCTGGAGGATGAGAGACCACATAGAGGACAGCTAAGGTACCCAGGTTAACAATCAGTCAGCTGCAGTAACAAAGCCACCTAGCCAACCTGCAGCTGACCTCAAGTGCATGAACATTCCCAGCCAAAATCAGCTGAGATGAGAAGACCCGACCATCAAACTGAGCCCAGACTGAATTGTCAACCCACAGAATCGTCAGTTATCTAAACAGTTTTTAAGTTTCTAAATTTTGGGGTGGTTTGTTATGCAGCAATAGTTAACCAATACAATGCCTTGCCTATTAAAATAAATAAAATTATTTGTAAGTGAAACTTTAGAAAAAAACAAATAGCTGAGAAAGAAATCTGCATAGATAAGCAGGTGATTCAGAAGTTTCCGTGTAAGAATGACATGGAGGTACTGAGGGTCTGGTGGAATCATCTAGACTTGTGACGCTTTCAAAGAAGCTTCACTCTATAGATCTCATTGACAGGAGAACAAGTAGAGGGAGTAATGGAATTAAGCAGGAGTATCAATGCAAGGCCTCAAAAGTCTAGAAAAGACCAGTCACAGACCCAGTGCAAAGTCCTTGGGGACCAGGCCAGACTAATCTCCTCATAGTAGACACCAGACCCCTGGGACCCAGGGGACATACTCAGATCCAAGGCCTGCCACCCTGTTGCAGGAGAATCTTCAGCTTTCTTCGCACCCAGAACCTTCTGAAGCATGAAGGAGGAAGTGAAATAATGAAAGACTGAGTTGTTCTTGTATTTTTCCCTGAGTTAACTAAAAGACTGAGTTAACCTAAAAGACAACGGTGAAAGCCTATAGAGTGCTTACTGCACCCCACACATGCTACCATATTTTTATTCCTGTTTTACAGATGAGGAAACTGAGGCACAAAATGGTCAAATGATTGCCCTAAGGTCACACAGCCAGACTGAGTAAAGCCAAGATTTGAACCCAGACAGTGTGGCTAAAGGGACTGCCTAGATTGCATGAATTGGCAAGGTTAAGCTTTTCCTTCTCAATAGCCAGCTCCAGGAGGCTCCTGAGGAAGTTCAGATCACTTACAGGAAACAAAGATGCCACAAACACAAATGTTTGCACAATCTGGGTATGTTTCACTCGGACCCCAGGAAACAGAAGCTGAGAGAGTTGCCCATGATTATACTTTTAGGAATTAGTCCTGTACCCTCCCTGCAGTGCTAAAAGGAGGCCCCCATGGGACTTGCTTTATAATAAATCCTTCTTCTTAAGCAATGTCACCTCCTCTATTTTCTGCATATCATGAATAATAATGGTTAATATGACCGGGCACGGCAGCTCAAGCCTGTAATCCCAGCACTTTGGGAGGCCAAGGCAGGCGGATCATGAGGTCAGGAGATCGAGACCATCCTGGCTAACACGGTGAAACCCCATCTCTACTAAAAAAACAAAAAAAATTAGCCGGGTGTGGTGGCGGGTGCCTGTAGTCCCAGCTACTCGGGAGGCTGAGGCAGGAGAATGATGTGAACCCGGAAGGCAGAGCTTGCAGTGAGCAGAGATTGCCACAGCACTCCAGCCTGGGCGACAGAGTGAGACTCTGTTTCAAAAAAATAAATACATAAATAAAAATGGTTAATATGTTTAGCATTTACATAGCCCTCGCACACATTCTTTCTCATAGTCTTACCAAAACTTTTCTGAAGCGGGGATTGCTGCTGTTCCTATGCTGCAAATGAAGAAACAAAGGCTCAGAAATGGCAAGTGACTTTGAAATCTTGCCCAGCCAGGAAGAGGAAGATCCAATGTTTGCTCCAAAGTCCAGCTGATTCCAGAGTGCATCCTATGACCTCACTGCCCACCTCCCTCCCGGGCACCTAGGATGGAGCCTATGGCAAGGGGTCATCAAGGTTTTAGCACAGTGATTACAGGAACCACAGCCCAAACAAAAAAGCAGGAAACCCTTTGACCGGGCTCCTTCCTATTGCACCAACAGCCTTGTGTTGCTGCAATGAAAACACTTCCCTAAACAGCTGTGGCCAAGAGACACAGAAACTGCCTTGTCCATGGGCCCCACCTCAGACTCCAACACTCACCAAAGAGCAGAGGAGCCCCAAGTATCGGGGACCACAGAAGATGCCATGTGCTCCATGATGCTTGCCCCCGCCTGCCTGGCCTGCTTGTCTCCCTGCTTCTTGCTGCTGGTACTGGTCCTTGTCCCCTCAGGTAAGTGGAATCTAGGACAGAACAGGGTCCACTCCCGGCTGATCAGTCCCTAGAGGGGCGCTAAGTGCTCTGGCATGCCTGGAGAAACTTGACCCCAATGAAGATAGAGTAAAGAGGGGGACACTGAAAATTTGCCTGTCTCCGGCAGAGGGCAGACCCAGCGTCCCAAGAAGCAGCGTAGTGAAGTGATAAGCTCCCAGGCTCTGCGCTCACACCTACTGGCTTCCAGCTTGGATGCTCCTATGCCCACGTCAGATGCTGCAGCTCTTTTAGCCCCAGGAGACTTTTCTACAAAACAGGGACACTCAAGGGCCCTTCCTCTAGGGCTACTGTATTAAATAGAAAAGTGGTGAGGTTCAGCCCTGGGCCAGCTGCATCGTTTATGAGACCCATTGCAAAATGAAAACTGTGGTCTTCTGTTCAAAAAGTATTGAGCAACACAGCAGAGCATTAAACTAAGCATGGGATCCTTCTAAGCACAGGGCCCTGTGCAACTGTATAAATGGCACAGCCAGGAACCAGTCCTGGCTCAGCTTAAGACGCAGTGGGCTCAAACCTCACCACTAACCAGTTTAAATAACTTCTTTCTGAGCCTCAATTTTTCCAATTGTACAATGGAGCTAAAATAGGACTCACCTTGTGACTTTCTTAGGAGAATTTAACAAGATTATGCCCATAAGAGCCTGGCATAACAAAGATTTGATAACTGTTGGCGATTATTATTATCATTCCCATGTCTCCTTTAACTCAGGGGCAGGCCAGGTTAGCTCCTGAGTCTTGAGACCCCTGAATATATAGCTCAGTCTCCGAGTCCAGAACCGTCTGATCTACCAGGCAGGAATACTTGGCTCTCAGTGGGCTCATTCCATCACCTGCCCATCTGGGCCCCTGCTCCAGGCTCTACTGAGATCTAGATTGTGTCTATCACATATTTGGTCCTCCAGGGTGGCCATCCCCAGGAGAGATCCTGGCAGAACCCAGGTGAGGGGTCAGACCTGGGTGCTCCCTTACTCATTGGCCATATGACTCGAGACACCACTTCACTTCTCTGAGGTGATTTCCTCAATTGTAAGATATGAATCGTAATTCCTAGTTCTCATTCCACAAGTACTTTTGAGTGTCTGCTGTTTTAGGCACTAGACTAGGAAATCAGAAATCTAAACTACCCCAGAATAAAAAATATTCCCAATGATTGCTGGAATAGAATAGATGGAAAATAAGAGAAGTTGCTTAAACCAGTTAGATGGAAGGTTTGAGTCCAGCTGCATCTCAAGCTGAGTCAGGGCTGGTTCATGGGTGTGCCCTCTATATAGAGGCACAGACCCCCCTGCTTAGAAAGGCCCCATGCTTGGTTTAATGCTCTGCTGTGTTGCTCAACAGTTTTTGAACAAGGGACCTGCATTCCCGTTTTGCACTTGGCCTCACAAATTACAGAGCTGGCCCAGGGTTGAGCCTCACCACTTTTCTATTTAATACTCACAGCAGCCCTAGAGAAAGGTCCTATGAGTGCCCCTATTTTGTAGTAGAGGAGACTGGGGCTAACAAATTTTCTATAAGGCTTTTGAAGGGAGCCCCTGTACAGGAACCATGAAATGCAGAGGATGCAGATGGAAAATAGATAAGAAGGAAGCCCAGGGTTGGTCCAGCTCCACCAACAAGGCAGAGGCAAACCTCCTAGGACACCTCCTAAAGCCCAAGTGACAACACAGAAGGAGACTCAGAAGGGGAGAGGGAGGGAAGGGGTGTGGGCACCAGGACTGAGTGCAGGCTCCAGTTTCTTCCCTGGTGTTCACTTCCCCAGACTCACTCCCAGCTGAGATAAGACTTCCTGAATCCTTCCTTCTTCCTCTCCTCCATTGCTTCTTTCTCCTCACACACACAGGCTTCATCTTTACAAATAATTTATTTTTAACAGCTCTATTGAATGTAATTGACTACATTAAACCATACATATATAAAGTAGACAATTTTGTAAGTTTTGTTTGTGAGTGTTGGGTATATTTCACACTTGTGAAATCATCACCAAAATCAGCATCATGAATGTATCCAGAACCCAAAACTTTCCTTGTGATTCGTCCTTGCCACTCCTCCTAGTCTCCAAAGCAAACATGGATCTGTGTTCTGTCACTATAGTTTGCATTTTTTAGAATGTTATATAACAAGGATCACACAGTTGTACTCTTTTTTGGTTGGCTTCTTTTACTCAATATAATTATTTTGAGATTCATTCATGTTGTCGCATATGTCAATAGTTCATTTCTTCTCATGTCTATCCATTGTATGGATAAACCCTTTCCCATTCACCTGTAGACAGACATTTGGGTTGTTTGCAGTTTAGGGCTATTATAAATAAAGCATCTATGAATATTCATGTACAAGTCTTTGTGTGGATATATGCTTTCATTTCTCTTAGGGAAATATCTGAGAATAAAATGACTGGATCATATGGTTGCCGTATGTTTAAGTTTTTCAGATACTGCCAAACTGTTTTTCAAAGGAGTTGTACCATTTTACATTCTCATCAGCAGTGTAGGAGGATGGCAGTTCCTACATATCCTCACCAACACTTATTATGGTCAATCTTTTTAATTTTAGTCATTCTAATGGGTATATAGTAATATCTTACTGTGATTTTTTTTTTTTTTTTTTGAGACAGGGTCTCACTCTGTTGCCCAGGCTGGAGTGCAGTGGCTTGATCTCGGCTCACTGCAACCTCCATCTTCCTGGCTCAAGCGATCCTCCCACCTTAGCCTACCAAGTAACCGTGACTACAAGCACATGTCACTACGCCCAGCTAATTTTTATGGTTGGTTGGTTGGCTGGTTGGTTGGTTGGTTTTTTTTGTTTTGGTAGAGACAAAGTTTCACCATATTGCCCAGGCTGGTCTTGAACTCCTGGGATCCAGTGATCTACCTGCCTCAGCCTCCCAAAGTCCTGGGATTACCAACCTCTCACTGTGATTTTAACTCCCTGACTTGTAATGATGCTGAACATTTTTTACATTATGCATCCCTTTTTGGTGAAGTGTCTATTTGACTCCCATTTTTTAAGTGTGTTTCTTATTATTGAGTTTTTAGAGTTCTTTATATATTATGGATACAAATATTTTGCCAGATATATGCTTTGCAAAGATTTTTCTCCTACTCTGTGACTTGTCTTTTTATTCTTTTACAAGTGTTTTCTGAACAGCAGGAGTTCTTAATTTTTATGAAGTCTAATTCATCAATTTGTCTTTAATGGATCACGATTTTGGTGTTACATCTAAGAAATCTTTGCCTAGCCCAAAGTTACAAAGTTTTTTTCCATGTTTGCAGCTAGAATTTGTATAATTTAACATTTTATGTTTAGTTATATGATCTATTTTGAGTTAATTTTTATATAGTTTGAGGTATAAACCAAAGTTCATTTGTTTGCACATGTATTTCCAATGGTTCTTGCACCATTGTTGAAAAAACTCCCCATTCTCCATTGAATTGTCTTTGCACCTTTGTCAAATATCAGATGATTATAGTTAGGAGCCATGGCATGCACCTGTACTCCTAGCTACTCAGGAGGATTGCTTGAGACTAGCAGTTTGAGGCTGCAGTGTGCTATGATGATCACACCCAGAATAGCCCTGCATTCCAGCCTGGACAACATGGTGAGACCTCATCTCTTTTTAAAAAATCAGTTGCCTCTATTTGCATGGACTATTTCTAGACTCTCTATTCAGTTCCACTGGTATGTTTATCTATCTTTCTGCAATACCACACTGTCTTGATCACTGTAACATTATCCAACTCTTGACAGCAGGTGGTGTTAGCTTTCTAATTTTATTCTCTTTCAAATTGTTTTGGCTATTCTATAAATTTTAGATTTAGTATATCAGTTCTAAAGTGAAGCCTGCTAGGATTTGAATAGGAATGGCATTGAGTTATATATCAACTTAAGAGAATTGACATCTAAGCAATATTGAATCTTCCAACATATGAACAGTGTGTACCTCTCTATTTATTTAGGCTTGATTTTTTTCTCTCTCTCTCTCTTAGTAATGTCTTGTAAGTTTTCAGTTTGCAGTTTCTTCACATTTTTGGCTAAATATTTTCTATTTTTTGTAATATTGATGACTGGAAATTTTTAAATTCCAATTTCAAATGGTTTATTGCTAGTATATAGTAATACATATCATTTTGTACATTGATCTTTTATCGTCAACCTTGCTAAACTCATTTATTAGGTCTAGTAGCCTTTTTAAGAAATTTTCATTGCAATTTTAATTATGTCATCTGCACATAAAGATAATCTTATTTTTTCTTTCAAATCTGGATGTCTTTTATTTCCTACTACCTTTTAGCATGGTTAGTACCTACCCTACAATAATGAATAGAAATGGTAAAAACAGGCTTCCTTGTCTAGTTCCTGATCAGCAGGGAAAACATTCATTTTTGCACCACTAAGCTTGATATAGTTGTTGTAGGGTTTTCACAGGTGCCCCTTATCAACTTGAAAAAGCTTCCTTATCTTCCTAGTTTGCTGAGAGTTATTATTAGGAATCCATGTTCAATTTTGAAAACTGCTTTTTCTGCATCTGTTGAGATGATTATATGAGTGCATGCATATGCGTGTGTGTGTGTGTGTTTAGTTATATGGTAAATTACATTGATTGATTTTTGAATGTTAAACCAACTTTATATTCCAGGGATAAGCTCAACTTGATCATAATGTATTAGACTTTCTAAATATTGCTGATTGCTGAATTCAGTTTACTAAAATGCTGTTTAAAATTTTTTATCTATGTTCGTGAGAGAGATTGGTTTTCTTTCCTCATAAGGAAAAGGGTTCAGTTTCAAGATAACACAGGGACTCATAGAACAGTTAGAAAAGTATACTCCTTTTCTCAATTTTTCTAGAAGTTTTGTATAAAATTTATATTATTTCTTTCTTAAAGATACGGAACATTTGGCCAGGCATGGTGACTCATGTCTGTAATCCCAGAACTTTGGGAGGCTGAGGCAGGCAGA